GGTGGAAGTTGGAGTGAGCCGAGATCGTGCTACTGTGCTCCAGCCTGGGCAACGGAGCGAGACTCTGTCTCAAAACAAACAAACAAACAAACAAAATTGGGGAACTGACACACGTTAACCAAAGTCACAGCAGACTGATTGATAAGCCAGATTATTAATTTCTGGATCTGCAGAGGAAGATATGGTGTGCCTTTCCAGCAATTACTACTACTCAGAAAAACACTTAGCACACAGTACACCCTCGACAGATGTGAATGGAATTACTCCCTGTAGCTTCATATTTCTTAATATACTCACACTCATATTTCTTAATATTATCTCCATCTTTAATATTATTTCTTGACTTTCCGTTATGATGTTTGTAGGTTTGAAGATTTAGCTCTGTTATAGCCTTTTTATCTTTTTTTTTGAGTCAACGTCTCACTCTGTTGCCCAGGCTGGAGTGCAGTGGTGTGATCTGGACTCACTGCAACCTCTTCTTTCTGGGTTCAAGCAATCCTGCCATGTTATCCTCCTGAGTAGCTGGGACTACAAGCATGTGCCACCATGCCCGGCTAATTTTACTTTTTTGTAGAGAGAGGGTTTCGCCATGTTGCCCTGGCTGGTCTTGAACTCATGGGCTCAAGGAATACACCCACTTGGCCTCCCAAAGTTCTGGGATTACAGGCATGAGCCAACGTGCCTGGCCTCTTTATCCTCCTTACAATTTTTGGTTAAATCAGTAGTCGATGTTTACAATATCGTGTCATTACCATTGACTACAGAGCCACATTGTGTACTATGATTATCTTTTCTGTTTTGAAATAACTTTGTTTTCCCTGGAACCAATAATCATGTTTTTAAAATGTGCTTTATTTTTTGTGTCTATCACTAATATCTTACAAATGTTGCAATAGACGGGTTATAGGTCTTTTAACTATTTTTCTAAACCTTCAAGTACAGTTCCAAACCTAGCAGTTGCGTTTTTCTTTTCCTGGAGATCTCATTTTAGCGATCTTCCATTTTCCTGTTCCCGTTGGAGCTGGCAGTTCTGCAGGTCTGGTGTACAGTTGTCAACTTGGGACTTTTCTTCTGTGCTAAATTTTCTGTGCCTTGGATTCCACATCATTGTTTCTCTTGGTTTATTCAGTTTGCTTTATTGGAACACATGCTCTAGAATGCATAGGAGGAAACGCTTTTGGGTCTTTGCATGTCTGAAAAAATTTTTATTCTTCTCTTAGACCTGATGGGGAGTAGTTTTTTATCTTCATGTGGCAGAAAATTGCCCTCTGGTTTCCAAGACACAGCCCACTGTATTTTTTGTTTGTTTGTTTTTTGAGACAGAGTTTCTCTCTTGGAGTTGAGTTGCACCATCTTGGCTCACTGCAACCTCCGCCTCCCAGGTTCAAGCAATTCTCCTGCCTCAACCTCCGAAGTAGGTGGTTACAGGTGCGCGCCACCACGCCCAGCTAATTTTTGTGTTTTTAGTAAAGATGGGGTTTCTCCATGTTGGCCCGGCTGGTCCTGAACTCCTGACCTCAAGTGTTCCACTCGCCTCAGCCTCCCAGAGTCCTGGGATTACAGGCGTGAGCCACCATGCCCAGCCCAGAATGACTCTTGAAGCCAGTCTGAATTAGAGGAATGGGAAAATAAATGCCATTTCTAGATGGGAAGAGTGGCAAAGTCACTCTGCCAAAGAGTATGTCTAAAGAGATTGGAAGCGTGGCTGGGTGCGATGGCTCTCGCCTGTAATCCCAGCACTTTGGGAGGCTGAGGCAGGCAGATTACGAGGTCAGGAGATCGAGACCATCCTGGCTAATATAGTGAAACCCTGTCTCTACTAAAAATACAAAAAATTAGCTGGGCATGGTGGCCGGCGCCTGTAGTCCCAGCTGCTTGGGAGGCTGAGGCAGGAGAATGGTGTGAACCCGGGAGGGAGAGCTTGCAGTGAGCTGAGATCGCGCCACTGCACTCCAGCCTGGGCGACAGAGCAAGACTCTGTCTCAAAAAAAAAAAAAAAAAAAAAAGATTGGAAGCATTATTGTGTCATTTTTGCCCATTTAAGGTATTTTTTTCTCCATTTATTGTGTTAAGTACGTGGTGAGCCCTTTCATTCTAAAGACTTATATTTTCCTGTTTTGGGCTATTAAAAAAGAATCTTTGATAATTTCCTCTAATTTCTTGCTTCTCTTTCTGAACCTCCTATTATTTTGGTGTTTGATCTTTTGGCTTAATTCTCTGAATTTTGTTATTTCTTCTCTGTTTTCTCTTTCCTTGTCTTTTTTATTCTAATTCTAGGTAATTATTTTTCCATTCTGTTGAATTTTAAAATTTCAACTGTCATGTTTTCAGTGTCTACAAGTTCCTCTGTTCCTTTTTTATAGCCTCCTCTTCTCCCTTAATGGATGTGACATCTTTTATTATATTTGAGGGTATTAATGATTTTTAAAAATATCTTTCATCTGGTCCCTTTATTGTCTTTTTTTCTTCCATGCCCCTTTTTTCTCTCCTTTTTGAAAACACTTTTCATCTTGGAGTTTTTCTTCTGTTTTCTAATCATTGTAGGCCTTCATTCATATTTAGGAGTGAGGAGGACACACACAGACAGACCTTTGCAGACTTTGTGTACCTGGGTGGAGCTTGATGCCTGAGGGTGCCAGCAGGCAGCAAGCATTGATGGAAGGTTTCCAGATAATGGTGTGTCCTCTGGGGTTGCTCAGTTTCTGCCCGGAAGAATCCTTTAATCTGTCTGTGTTGTGGGAGCAGGGTGGGAGGAAGGGGACTAGGGGTCGCAGTGTTCAGTTTGACTTTCACATAACTTCTCACCATAGTCCAGTCCAGCATTTCACCCCCGTATTCATCTGGGCCGTTGTGTACCTGAACCCTCTTGAGTTCATTTTTTCCAGAGAATAAATCTGCTTACCAAAGGGGCTGAGGAGGATTCGTTGCTAGGGTGTGCAGGGCAAGGAGATGGATGTGTCTCACTGCTCCCTGGATGGCCTTCAGAGCTTCAGTTCCATGTTCCAAGATAACTCTAAGTTCTAACCTGTTGCTCCTTGACTTATCCCTCCCCTTGACTTTCTGTTTTCCAAACTGTTGTTGCCATCTTTCTTCTATGGTTGATTCCTTTTCACTTAGCATTGTCCTTGGGATCTTTCCTCTCACTTTAGTAGAGTTTCCAGAGGGAACATAGAGATAAAAGCACATGTTTAACCAGAATCTTCCCCTTCCTTTTCCGTCTTTAGTCTTTGCATAACTGCTATGCTGGTTCTTACGATTATTTTTCTCAATGATATGAGTTCTTCCTAGGCTAGTTATTTGTACTTGTGTGTTGAGGAGGGGCCAGGGTGGTGTTCTGAGTCTTCCTTCTGAGTTGTTTCAGCCTCTGATTCCCTCTAGGCAATGAAGATGAGCTGCTGGGTGGCCCTTTTCAGCCCTTGTGTTGCAGGTGATCAGCGACTATCTGGGGCTAGTGATGTGGGTAGTAAGAAGAATTTACCATGATAGTTGGATGTAGAGAAAGGCAAATTTATTAGAGAAAGTATGAAAATATGTTGCAAGGGTACAATGGGCAGGTCAGCAAGAAAGGAGCTGACTGTGGGGAGACAAAGGCTTGCTGGGGATTTTTATAAGATAGTATTTGTGTTGTGCCCTGAAGAAGGCTTTGTGCAGTATTGCAGTGAGCTCACTTGCCTTTTTCTATCCTTTGAGGGTCCAGTGATAGCTGGGCATGGAAAGATAGTGAGTTATCTGTGCAGGAGGGGTGTGTGTCCTGGACCATGAAGAAAGGCAGACTTAGAGCTTATCTGCCTTGTCTTTTTGCTTTCCCCTGCTCCCGCCAGTCCAACTCCTTTCCCCTAATTAGGACTCCACACTTTGCTTCTATCTTCTTCAAAGACAGTGTGCCTGTTTATTTTCCCCTCTCTTACCCTTTGCTGTGGTTCAGTCTAGATCCAGAATTAATTCCTGACACCAGCCCGCACACCATGTTTTCATTGTGCAAAGAAAAGATTCTTGGTTTTGCCCCCAGAGCAGTTCCATCATCTGTGTAGACAGCTCTTCAGACATTCGCTTCTGGTGTCTTTCCTTATCCTATTCAATCTTCCCTTTCTTGACAGAACTTTCTCACATACTGAGTTTCAGAGTCTAGATGATTCTCAGTATTATCAGAGATGGAGTTTTTTTCTCTTTCCCTTGTTTTTAATGATACCTGAGAACAGGACAGAAGGGTTTTATTCTGTCAGCTCTTCGTGCAAGTGTACTCTCATTTATTTCTTTCTTCTTTTTCTGAGACAGGGTCTCGTTGTCTTGCCCAGGCTATAGTGCAGTGGTGCGATCATAGGTCACTGCAGCCTCAAGACTCCTGCGCTCAAGGGATCCTTTTGCGTCAGTGTCCTGTATAGCTGTGACCACAAGTGTTCTCTACACCTGGCTAATTTTTAATTTTTTGTAAAGACAGAGTCTTTGTGTTACCCAGGCTGGTCTCAAACTCCTGGGCTTAAGCAGTCCTCCCATCTTAGCCTCTCAAAGTGCTGGAATTATAGGTGTGAGCCACCATGACTGGCCTTATTCTCCAATTTTAAGGCTTTCATTTTTATTTATTTATTTGTTTGTTTATTCATTTATGTATTTTTGAGACAGTGTTTTATGTTGTCACCCAGGCTGGAGTGCAGTGGCATGATCTTAACTCACTGCAGCCTTGACCTCCCATGTTCAAGTGATCGATCCTCCCACCTCAGCCCCCAGATAGCTGGAACTATAGACACATGCCACCTCACCCAGCTAATTTCTGTATTTTTTGTAGAGACAGGGTTTTGCCATGTTGCCCAGGCTGATCTCTACCTCCTGAGCTCAAGCAATCCAGTTGCCTCAGCCTCCCAAAGTGCTGGGATTATAGGTGTGAGCCACCACACCTAGCCTAATTTTAAGGTTATTTTAAAACATATACTCAGTACCCCTAAATTAGGACCACACTGGACCCAAGTCCTTTTCTTGCTTGATGTTTGTTTGTGTTTTTTTAGGGACGATCCACCAACACATTCTCAGCCAGACAGTGATGATGAAGCAGAAGAAATACAGGTTGGTACCAAATAAAATAATCTGCTCTGTAGACTGTTGTAGTTTAAATGATCTCTGAGATGGTTCTGACTTTTAGATCTTATCTTACATCTGATAAAATGAGAAATTACATGAGAATCTTACTTTGACATATATCTTCACATATACTCTGTGTTCAGGAAAAGATGTCTCCATTTGATTTATAATTTTTAGATGGAGCACTGCTGTTTGAAGCCCAGTGCAGTATTTAAATGTAATGTTTTGTTTTTTCCTCTTTTTCATGCAGTGGTCTGATGATGAGAACACAGCCACGCTTACGGTAAGAGCACAGCAGACTCAGCGTGGGGACAGCCTCACACTGTCACACAAGGGTTAGTGCCAGGGTTTAAGTGCGTACCTCTCTAAATTCCTAGTTAGTCGCCATTTCATATATTATTTTTCCTGTGGGCTGTCGTTTTTATTTTGAAAAATGACTTGAAGCCTCATTTAGCAGGCAAACATGATTTGCCCTTTTCCCCTTTAATTGCAAAGGAAATATTTCGAGTGCATATTTGATGCCTTGACTTATTTCTGTTAAGCTCTGATGCTCTGCAAGAAGGAATTACACCTAATGTTAAACTCTGAGATTCCTATATCTCTGAAACATAAATTAAAGTGAAAATCTGTATTTCCTTATTCAAGTGTATTTATTTATATTTAGTTAGTTAGTTATTTTGTTTGTTTATTTTTGAGACAGAGTCTTGCTGTGTTGCCCAGGCTGGAATGCAGTGGTGTGATCTTGGCTCACTGCAACCTCCACCTCCCAGGTTCAAGTTATTCTCCTGCCTCAGCCTCCTGAGTAACTAGGATTATGGGTACCTGACACCAAGCCCGGCTAATTTTTGTATTTTTAGTAGTGACAGGGATTCACCATGTTAACCAGGGTGAACTCGAACTCCTGACCTCAGGTGATAGGCCCGCCTTGGCCTCCCAAAGTGCTGGGATTACAGCTCTGAGCCACAGTGCCTGGCCTCAAGTATATTTAAATGGCATAAAAATTATTGTTTCTTTCAAGCGAGAGTAGAGAGGTATGTGACTTTTACCAGTGTTTTACATAAAAATGTAGAGGTTATCAAGCATATCACAGTGTTTTAGGATAAGAGTGCCGTTGTGAAAGTTAACCTGAAATTTTTTAAATGAAGATATTTTTAAAGGAGTGGGTGAAGCAGATGTTCTGTTTCTAAAAATAGGTGAACGAAACTCCTCATACCTTGAGTTAAAAGGGAAAGATTTTTAGTGAAACTCCTTACAAGTAAATGTAAAGGCAGAAATATAGAAAACCAGCTTTGTGGGAGGGTTTGTTCTAATCTAGCTCTAAATAAGAAGATACTTGTTTATTTTAATGAGAGATATGATTGCCGAGGTAGAAGAAAAAAAAAGAAGTGGAGCTGCTCAAAACTGACATGTTTCTTTAGGTGTAAAAAGGGAAGCCTGCCAGCAGATGCCTAAGTGGAAAGTTCGCATGTTTCATTTACTCCAGATGCCATTCAGATCACTCTCATTTTATGAAAATTCCATTGCGTGTCATGTAAATGTTACTTATCTGCCATACTCAGGCACTAAACTGGATTCTGTGAGATGAACACAGATGAATATGATTTGATTCTCACCATTAGGGAGTTTGTAAACCAGGGGAAAGGTGACACAGGCAGGGGGAGATGACAGTGCTGTCAGATCAGAGAGTGTAGTTACAGCTGAGGACACCAGAATGCCTGACAGGACAAGTGGTATCTGACCGGATCTTAATAGTGGTGGGGAGTATCAGTATCAACTCGTTTTTAAATATGTATAGATGGGCCTGGCGCAGTGGCTGACGACACCTGTAATCCCAGCACTTTGGGAGACCAAGGCGGGTGGATCACTTGAGGTCAAGAGTGACCTCACATCTGACCAACATGGTGAAACCCCGTCTCTACTAAAAATACAAAAAGCTAGCCAGGCATGGTGGCAGTCACCTGTAATCCCAGCTACTCAGGAGGCTGAGGCGGGAGAATTGCTTGAGCCCAGGAGGTGGAGGTTGCAGTGAGCCAAGATTGCGCCACTGCATTCCAGCCTGGATGACAGAGAGAGACTCTGTCTCAAAAAAATAAAATAAAATAAATATGTATAGATGATAGATACAGCAATTAATAATATAAAGGGGTGTGTGTGTGTGTGTGTGTGTGTGTGTGTGTGTGTGTATTTACCAAACTGTGTTCACTAAGAAGTTTTAGAATCATTGACATGTAACATCCTGGTAGCAGTGAGCACACCTGATGCCTTGATCTTGGTTTCTAAATACCAATCTCCACTAAACAAAATTGAAGCTTCTTGGAGATATTCCGGACTTGGGTTGGGAAAGTAAAAATGAGCCTGCAACAGCCTGTGCCAGGAACTATGGAAGTGCTGAAACAATGATGGGACATGACAAAAAGATGCCAGAAGCCAGCTTTGGGCTCTCGTGTCTAAAAATATGAGCATCATAACAAATACAGTTTGAGCGTTCCTAATCCCCAACTTCAAAATCGAAAATGCTCCAAAATCCAAAACTTTTTTAAAAGACTGGGTGGTCTCACTGTGTTACCCAGACTGCACTCAAACTTCTGGGCTCATGTGATCCTTCTGCTTCAGCTTCCTGAGTAGCAGGTACTGCAGGTATGTGCCACCATGCCTAGCTCCCAAAACTTCACGAGCACTGACATGACACCACAAGTGGAAAATTCCACACCTGACCTCATGTGACAGGGACAGCCACAATGTATGTGCATAACCCAGCTCATTCAGCCTCCCCAAGGGAAAATGAAATTACCTTCAGGCCATGTACATAAGGTGTATATGAAACGTAATGACTTTTGTGTTTAGATTTGGGTCCCATCCCCATTATGTATCTGCAAATATTCTAAAATCCAAAACACTTCTGGTCTTACCCATTTTGGATGAGGGATACTCCATGTGTAGTAATAGGAATAGATTATGACCTATTGACTAAAATAAGAATTGCTGATCCCATAGTGACATACATAAGTGATTAAAAAAGGTGGGGAAAAAGGAAGCTTGTTTTTATGGTAGTAAAGGCACTAACTAATACATGTAGAAGGAATGATGGAATTAGGAATTACTATTTGGCAACCATGGTAATAATATTTGATTGAATAGATGCTAAAACTAGTGGGTGAATATACAGTGAGAAAGAAGATATTTCCATCTTCTCAAAGTATCTTCACCCAAATTACTTACTATTTGCGCAAAGGAAAAATAGTAATGTTACCATGGAAAGACCTGGCAGCCAAGTGATCAGTATTAACCTCGACAGTGACAGAACAGACCTGTCATGCGTGCCTCCCGATACAATGCATGGGAAGGACACCACCTGTCACAGCTGCACAGCCTGAGTCCACTTGGGAGGAGACATCCAACAGTCTCAACTTTTAGAAATTGTATAGAGTAGTTGCCCTGAACTTTTCAAAAACATCAAGGTCATAAATGGTAAGAACAACAGAGAGAGGAACTGCCACAGATTGAAGAAGATTATAGAGACCTGACAACTAGATTTAGTCCATGATTCTAGCTAGACTGGATGCCTGGACCAGAAAAAAAGTTTCAATTTTTTTTTTTTTTCTGTAAAAGATGTTATTAGAACACTTGGCAAATTTTGAATAAGATCTCTATTGTGTCAATGTTAGTTCCCTGATTTTGATAGATAATTTATAGAAAATGGCAAAAATCATGACTCATATAAAACTCTTTAATGCATGTTGAAGACGTTAGTTAACGCATAAGGGAACCAGACGTTAGAACTGGTTCAAAAGAGAATCCAAAGAAAAGTTATATTTGTAGATCAGGAATATTGAAATAGGTATGTAAATGAGGCAAAACTGGTTTTGCCTCCCTGCAGTATGGGAGAAAAGACAATTGGACCTCTTCCAGATGAGATAGAAATTACATGTCCATAAGAATTAGTTCATGTCACTATCACTTACCTAGAATTTGCCAGGTTGTAAAGTAGCTCACAGACCTGGCTAAAAACAGATAACCTAGAAGATTGTGCTGTATATAAACAGTGCATAGGCTTCCACTTCAGACTGTGCATAAACTTTCTATAATTTAAATTTGTTTTAGGATTCTTATGGCAGGTTATCCTAAAGTTGAGTAATTTTGAGGATTTGAGGGAACTGATCACATCTTTTAAAAGGCATGCACATAAAGTAATCCTTAGATGTCAAGTTTTATGGGATAGGAAAATGAAATTGCTCTATCTATGAAGGTTGAATCCTTTCGTGTTGTAAAGTTTGTGCAGCAATGCCATTCGTAGGAAATACTGCCAGTGCCCATCTCACAGGAGTGGGGTTTATGGCTAGAGCGGTAGGGGAGCCAAGTCAGCCGCTTCAGGCAATTATAAGGAAATGGCCTCCCATAAATCATAATTGCTTTGTGTGGGGAGAGATGAATGGAAAATCAAGGACTCAGTGCTGCTGTTCATTCTGAAACCCTCTAAATTACTCTGGTTTCATTTCATGTGTCTAAGCTGAAGTCGTCTAGTGGAAAATAGATAGAGGGGCAGCCAATCAAGTAATTAAAAGATACTGTTATTAACCAGTCTAGAGGTCAGATTTATCTGTAGCAGAAAGAAAGGCAGCCTAATTGGGCCTTAAGCTCTCATTTTTCTTCCCTAACCTTTTGCTCAAAGCTGTTTCTTGGTTTGGGGGATATATGACCATGTTTTAAAACGCATTTCTTTGGTCTTTTCTCAGACTCTTGTCACAGTTTTTTCTCTTACATAGCTGGGTTAGATCTTGGGGATCCACATAACTATTTGATGTAATCTTGAATGTGTAGTTTAGTTAAGTCAAGATGTAGTCTTTTTTTTTTCCTATGGAAGAAGTTGGTTACTGGATTTTTTTCAGAACTTATAGTTGCCCTATAGGGGGCAGCAATCCTCTTTACAGGATATAATGAAAATTAATGACTGCGTGTAGAATCTGTTAATGTTTTTGTTTTCTTATGTCTTTTGAGGTCCCCACTTCCCCCTCTCTTACTTACCTTTTTTCTTGCTTATGTCCACAAGCTCCTGTGATCGTGACAGGACGTAATGACATCAGGCTTAAGTTCCTGTTTAGCAGCAGTATTTCTATTCACTTCTGAGTTGAAACAAACATACAGAATGTTTTGGTCACTTGCTTATAGAAAATATGCATTTTTAAAATCATCCAAAAAGGAAAGAACGTTTTAACTTGACCGAGGTTCAGATTTTGAGTTTTGCTTGTTTTAAAACGTGTCTGGAAATAGCAGTGTTTAAATAGTTTGCCACGTCATTTATTTTTCATTGTCTCTGTGGCTTTGGGGGATGCTGTATGTCTAGGACTCTCCCTACAAGTGGAAGGGCTTCGAGCTCTTCAAGCAGGGATGTTATTTCTGACAACTGGAGTATTGGTACAGGTGATATTCTCTTTTCTCTTGATGAATACTCATTTTACGTCGGTGTACAGAGAACCATTCATTCCTTCCTCACATCCTCAGAAGCCTAGTGGTTGTCATTTCAGCTTTGCAGGCTTTGATTGTCTGGAAAATGCCATTTAAGCAGCTGATTATTTTATTTCTCTTTTTGGTAAGTGTACTTGATCACTGATTTTATTTCGCTGAGTTCAGAAATTCTGATAGTAATTTGTATTCTAAATTCTGTTTTTAACACCCTCAGCTATAACCTTGAGATTTTGATCTTGTTTTCCATAGATACTGTGATGATATTGACGTACCCAATGATTTCTTCTCTCTCTGTAGGCACCAGAATTTCCTGAGTTTGCCACTCAAGTCCAGGAAGCTATCAATTCCCTCGGGGGCAGTGTCTTTCCTAAGCTTAACTGGAGTGCCCCAAGGGTAGGAACACATAAGTAATTCTCTTACTGTTTAAATGTTCTTTGTTTTGCTATTTATTTCATTTCATATCCCTACAGAGGGTCTAATTATATTCCTAATTCTAGGAAAAATACCGTGGAATTTATTATTAATTTCCCTCTACTATTTTACCTTCCGGATTTTGCTATACACTTTCCTGGGGCTGTGAAACATGTATTCTGCCAAAAGGTAGTTTCCACCTCTTGTGTTGCTGATTGTTTTAGAATTCTGAGGAAATTCATACTCTGCCCTTTTCAGAAACGTGCCAAAAAATTTTTAGCTATGTTCCACTGAGCTTTGTGCCTACTTTGCATTTGCCTTCCCGTCTTTTGTTCTTATGTATGAGACATTTACCGTTTAAAGTTATAGTGGTTCAGAATAGCTCACCTCCTTCTCTTTCAGATTTGATAGATGTTGGTGTAATAGCTCCAGCCGCCAAAGTTCAGGTGTTTGGCTGCCACTCCCCAGAAACGGGAAGGGTGGAAATTGATGTCCCTTTTCTTGGAGAGTAGCTGGTCAGACTATTTCTTTACCACCTTAATCTTGTAGCCAAAATGTCAATGTTTCTGACACTTCATTTTCCTCTCTTCTATTATCAGTAAGAAAAACATGGGGAAGTACTTAGGCCTGGGCTGAAATGTGAGGACCCTGGCATCTCAGTGCTCGTAACCAAGTGTCTGAAATGCAATGGTGGTGGTCTTTGCTGTTAAGCATAATTTAACATTTGACAGTGCTGCTAACATTTACTTGACTTTCTTGTTTAAACCCTTGAGGTGATATGCATTATTGATTTTGTTATAGGCCTGAGCATTCGTAGCAGCCAACATGGAATATGGACTAAATAGCATGTGCTTCATTCTTTAGGATGCGTATTGGATAGCAATGAATAGTTCTCTGAAATGTAAAACCCTCAGCGACATCTTTCTACTTTTCAAGAGTTCTGATTTCATCACTCGTGACTTCACTCAGCCGTAAGTATCTCTTATTCTCTCATGTCAACAGTTTCAGTATTTGTCCAAATTTTTCCGTAGATGAAATTCCATTACTTGTAGTACTATTATAAATCACAGCTCCATATAACAAAGCTATTTCATATTGCGAAAATGACCTGTTAAAGCAAATCTTTCTTTTCCCTTTATAGAAAATAGTATATAATAAATATCTGAAAATATTAAGGACTTTCTGTATCTCTGCTTATTAATCATTTCAGTAATTTTTTTCCTGTTATAAAACTGATAAATGTTTATCATAGAAAAGCAAAACTACGGATTACAGCTAAATAAAAACAGGAAATATAAAAGCACTCATGACCCGGAGTGGTGGCTCACACCTGTAATTCCAGCACTTTGGCAAGGAAAGACAGGTGGATCACCTAAGGTCAGGAGTTCAAGACCAGCCTGGTCAACATAGTGAATCCCCGTCTCTACTAAAAATACAAAAAAGTAGCTGGGCGTGGTGGTGTGTGCCTATAGTCCCACCTACTCGGGAGGCCAAGGCAGGAGAATTGCTTGAACCCGGGAGGCGGAGGTTGCAGTGAGCTGAGATCGCAGGCCACTGCACTGTAGCCTGGGCAACAGAGCAAGACTCCATCTCAAAACAAACAGAAACAAAAAAGCACTCATGATCTTGACACAATTAGTTCTTATACTTCTAGAATTCTGTCTATAAATAAATATAAATATATCTCTCTACCTATATACAGAGTTTTTAATGGGATCCTATAGTTTGTATTTCTTTTTTTTTTGAGACGGGGTCACAGGCTGGAGTGCAGTGGCATGATCTCAGCTCACTGCACCCTCTGCCTCCTGGGTTCAAGCGATTTTCTTGCCTCAGCCTCCCGAATAGCTGGGACTACAGGTGTGCACCACCACACTTGGCTAATTTAGTATATTTTTAGTAGAGACAGGGTTTCACCGTATTGGCCAGGGTGATCTCGAACTCCTGACCTCGTGCCACCTCAACCTCCCAACGTGTTAGGATTACAGGTGTGAGCCACCACGCCCAGCCTATAGTTTATATTTCTTAGTGGGCTGCTTTTGCACTTACAGTGTGACGTCATTGCATGTCTAAATTCATCATTATTTTCCATTCCCTTAATGCTGCGCCTCTGGAGAGCTGTAGCATAACATATTTGACCCACCCGCTGTTCTTCCAGAGCTGCAGTGAATATCCTTAAGCTAACCCTTGGTGCACTCTCCTAATTTTTTCCTTAGGATAAGTTTCTAGAAGTGGAATTGCTTTGTTTCTTTCCTTTGCCTGTCACTCTATAGCTAAAAAATTTGACAGTGCAGTCAGCGTTGTAGGCAGACGGAATACTTGCCCTGCTGAGCCGCAGGTGCTCTCTTTATGCTGCTTCTGTTGTCTTCAAATAGCAGCTATTTTTCTAGGTTTCTCTTGCTGTCACATCTTAAACAGACCAGTTATCTCAGTTAAACTCATCTTTAAACTGACCTTTAAAGCATATCAGAGAACCTAGAAGCAGCAGCATGAGGGTGAAAATCTTGTATAAGCATGCCACTTCCGCCCTGTCCAGTTGAGTTTCTCCTGCCAGTTCATTCCATTTCAGACTCAAATCCTTTTTTTGAAGTAGATCCTGGCGTGATCACTACATGACAGTCATGTATCAACTCTGGCGTCTGAGCTGTGCAGCTTGGACATATGGTTTTAGTGTTATTATATTGATTAAAGAAAAGGAAGTTAAGTAACCATCAATGAGTGTGGTTGTATTACATTGTATTACATGTTTACTGTATAAGGATTTTACCTGTATTTGTAGTTCTAGTTTTATAGAAAAAAAGTGTGTGTGTGTGCACGTCTGTGTCTGTGTGTGTGTGTTTAATAGAGATGGGGTCTCACTAAGTTGCCCAAGCTGGGCCTCAAACTCCTGGGCTCAATTGATCCTTCTGCGCCTGACCAAGTGTTGGTTTGACATTCAGTTGTCAACCCTCTGGTTGTGTTGGCACAGGTGTTGGTAGTCTGTTTTAGTAACCAGTAGTATTTTCATTCTAGTAGCTACCCTCTGAAAAGTAGAACAAAGTTGTGCCTCTTTTTCCCGTTGGAAAGCTTTTTGACATCTAATGCTTTAAGACGTCTTAAAATATGTTACACTGAAAATACTGTCTACTTGATAATTCAGCTGGTAAGAATTTTTATTTTGAGATGGAGTCTCACTCTGTCACCCAGGCTGGAGTGCAGTGGTGCGATCTTGGCTCACTACAACCTCTGCCTCTAGGGTTCAAGCAATTCTCCTGCCTCGGCCTCCCGAGTAGCTGGGATTACAGTGGCATGGCTACCATGCCCGGCTAATTTTTTTTGTATTTTAGTAGAGACGGGGTTTCACCGCATTAGCCAGGATGGTCTCATCTCCTCACCTCATGATCTGCCCGCCTAGGCCTCCTAAAGTTCTCGAGTTATAGGCGTGAGCCACCACGCCCGGCCATGCCCAGCTAATTTTTGTATTTTTAGTAGAGAAGGGGTTTCACCATGTTGGTCAGGCTGGTCTTGAACTCCTGGTCTTGTGATGCTGCCCGCCTTGGCCTCCTAAAGTGCTGGGATTACAGGCGTGAGCCACTGCGCCTGGCCCTGATAAGGATTTTTATATGCCTTTAGTGTCAGTTGCAGTGAGAGTGGGAAGACACCTTTGCCTTTCCAGAACTAACTATAAACTGCTTTTAATTCTGAGGCTGATGTTTTTTTTAAATCAGCTTTGCGATTTAGTGATCAGTTGCCTCCTCTTAAGCTACGTCTTGCTTTTTATCTTTGTTTAACTGATGTTCCAGTGGATGGTATGAATAATAGTCTGTTGTTTTGCGTTTTGTACTTTTTGACTTTTGCATGGCAAGGAAGTGAAATCAGCAAGTGAGTTTGAGGCCTTGGATTTAGAGTGTTTACCCACAGAATGCCATCCTTCTGCTATTATAAATAATTGGGAGTTGGCAGGAGCAAATACCAAGCACTGGGCTTTCAGCCTTTTAGCTGGGCACCACTAATGTGTCACTTTGTCTAGAAATAACTGTTAGTAGTTGCTTAGCAATTAATAAATCAGTTGCATAACAAAGTGTTGCCATCACATAAAAATTCCTTGTTGATAGAACTCATTAAAGATGAATGTTTGTCACAAAGGCCTTGAAGAGCTCTTGAAAGATTAAATTAGGAGTATAGTTCCTTAGATTGGACAGGATCATATCAGTGATCTAACCCTTTCCTTCTGTAGATTAGAAAATTGAGGCCTAAATCTGTTCAGTGATTTGTTCAAGATCCCACAGCTAGTTAATAAAAGCTAAAACCAGAATATTTTAAGAACACCATTTTAAAAGTTCTTTGTATTTTCACTTAATAAAGTTATAGATTCATTCTTTCCAAAATACTTCCTATTAAAATATTAGATAATAGAAGAAAACATTTAATTTACAATACATAGTTATATATAATATGTATAAAGTTATATAACATAAAAATGAGATTATGTTGTTTTTACTATTTTGAGGCTTGACTTGACAAGAAAACAAATATGTTACAGTCAGAATTGCGAGTTAACAGAAGCCGAAAATAGCTTACACGCGGGATTTAAAAAAATACATTATTTAAAGAGGAGTCTGGAGATTGGATATTTTTAGGAATACTCGGTGGCTCACCAAGGTCGCCAGGAACCCATGCTCTTTCAGGCCCTTTCCTTCTGCCATCCTTGACGTAGTGGCTTGGTCTTTGGGTTTCTCACCTAATGGTTAAAAGATTGCTGCTACAGTTCCAAGTATCTGTCACATGAAGACATGACCATATCTCAACCAAAAACAGGAGGGGTATATATGTTTCCTCTCATTCTTTTCTGTAGGCGAACGAGTAAAGCATTCCTGGAGGCCTCCTGGGAGACTTCCTCTCAGCCCTCATTGGTCACAGTTGCCCAGCCTAATCCAGTAGTTGGCAAAGGGAGCAGAATTGCTGTGATTCGTTTAGATCAAGCTTGTCCAAGCTGCAGCAGCCTGGGACGGCTTTGAATGTGCCACAACCCAAATTCAGAAACTTTCGAACATCATGAGATTTTTTTTTGAGACTTTTATTTTTTTAATTTTTATTTATTTTTTATATCATCAGCTATCGTTAGTGTATTTTATATGAGGCCCAAGACAATTCTTCTTCCTCTAATGTGTCCCAGGGAAGCTAAAACTTTCGACACCCCTAGTTAGACCAAGGTTCTCGGCATGAGATGCATCAGCGTTATCCAGAGAGTTAGATGAAACACAGGTTCCTGGGCCCCAGGGTTTCTGGTCCAGCAGGCCTGGAGGGGGCTAAGCAGATCATTTCTAACCTGTTTCCAGGCAATGTGGATGCCACTGGTCCAGGCCCATGCCTTGGCTGCTTAGATTAGTCAGCACATGCATCCCAGGGATTAGAGAGGGAACCAGGAAGCACAAATGCTCCCAGCATCTGAACAATCCAGGTTCCATTGGACAGGCTGAAGACGGGAACCCTGAAGAGTAGACAGCCAGTATTGTCTCCCTGCCTATAATGTACTCGAGAACATTAATTACTGCTTTTTTCTTTCCTGTTCTTCAAATGGTTACTGTAGACAAAAAGCTTTAAAAAGTGGAGGTTGACATGACATGTGGCCGGGCGCGGTGGCTCACATCTGTAATCCCAGCATTTTGGGAGGCCAAGGTGGGTAGATCACGAGGTCAGAAGTTCGAGACCAGCCTGGCCAACATGGTAAAACCCCAACTCTACTAAAAATGCAAAAAAAAGAAATATGACACGTATAAATGTGTTGACTGTATTATTTGCCAAGATATAAACATTCTGTGTGATTAAACTTGCTGAGTCACAGGCTGCTTTCATTATTTTATTGTGACTTCAGTGGGCTGAGTAGACAAGAAAAAATTTTGATACTCAATTGGCATTTAGAAAAAGGGGCTGAGTGAGTGAAAAAATAAATTTGTTAATTGTTTCTCTGAGGGGCTCATGATGAAGGAGAAAT